AAAAACCGTTCCGATCTCTCTCTACCCAGTACCTTCGCATGTCCGTACTGATGCAACACTCGGCGCGGTCGATTCCCGTGGTCGAAGGCTAGCTTACCCTAAAAAGGTACACTCAAATAAAATGGCACCGAGGGGTCCGCAAGTCAATAGAAATCAACGACAGATACTCTGGAGCCCTCCACTCCCTCTGCGCGCTATGCGAGGTAACAACTGAGACTAGGGGTCACCATCACGGGCCGGAGAGAATGAGGTACACCCCCTTGGTTCACTCTTGGTACTTCACAGCGCAATCAGAAACAAGGCCAGCTGGCACAGAAAAAGAGAGAAAAAGAGAAAAAGAGAAAAAGAGAAGAAAATAAAAGGAAACAGTGGAAAGAGAAAGTGAAACAAACAGAGCGAGGACAAAAAGGGACCAGGCCGAAAATAACAAGAAATAAGAGACAGAAAAAGGCACACGGTGGAGAGACCACTAACAACAAGAAAACACGCAAACATGGCCACCAACCAGCGATACGTTGTAATGGTACGCCATCACTGGTGGGGGGTTGGTGCAATGGTGCAGCGTTGGAGGGGGGGGAGTTGGCTAAAAGAAATTCAATCCGGCACGTATCGCGCCACCCGGTCCGTCTTTTCTCGTTTGCTTTCTTCCCTCGCCGTCTCGTCCGTCTCCTGCCCCCCTCCCGCCCCATTGGTTGGTGGCTTGTGGTTTCGTTTGAGCGCCCGTTGTCGGCTGGCCTCTTCTTCCTTCTCGTGCCAGGAGGTCATGAACCTCTCAGCTCCCTGCAGCACCGCCGCATGCCAGGGTACTCCCCCCTCTACCTTCGCGGCTTCCGTCCACTTTAACTTCGGTGCCGTGTCTTTCGGTACCGGGATTCCGAGACAACATGGATCGGTTTTCGTAGATCCGTGGTCGGCCCCGAATGCCTTCAGGTCGTCGAGCACACACTTCGGCCAGTTCTGTTCCTGTCCCCCCCTACGTCGCTTCTCCCCCCCTGCCAGTTCGCCGAACATCAGTCGTTTCGGGAGTCGCCCGTCTGGCTGCCTGATGCTCCCGCGAACAGTAGGCGTCGTTATCGGATCGTGGCTCCAACGCTCTGGCATTCGACCCTC